AGGAGGCCGGCCGGCGCGGCCGAGGCGGGCGCCGCCGGCGCCGCCGGCGCGGCGGCGCCGCCCTGGCCGGGCTCGGGCAGGTCCGAGTAGAGGCCGGCCATGCTCTGGGGGGCTCCCCTCGGGCGAGTGGTATAGGGCGACGAGATCTATGCATATCCACTGCTCCTGGCCAGGCCCATCCTGGGCCCAGGAGCGGTGTATATGCCTCCCTGGCCAAGCCAGGCGGGCGTATACACCGCTCCTGGGCCCAGGATTGGCCTGGCCGGGAGCAGTGGATATGTATAGATATCGTCGCCTTATGGTAGACCCTGCGAAATGCTTAGGAAATCATGGGTTAAGAAATTCACAGTCTCAGAAATAGAATAAAAAACCCAGAACTTCTCTCAAGATCTCGGGATGTACATTGAAACGTTAAGAATAATCGAGACTCTGGCCGAAAACTTCGGTTTTCTTAAGCATCGCATAAGGTGTATACCTGGGGGTGGCCATCACGGGAGGTGGAGCTCGAAGGACTCCAGAGGGGGGCCCTGGAGGGCTCCGTTCGGGAGCCAGCCGGGGCCCCAAGAGGGGCCCGAGAGGGCCTCCTGAGGGCCCTTTTCTCGAAGGATTGCAAAAAAACCCAAAACACAAACTGGATTGCAAAAAAAAACAGGATTGCAAACAAAAAGAACATGTTTTTTTTGCAATCCGTTTTTTTGTAATCCTCCCATTTAAGACATCATCCCCTATTGCCATCCGCCCGATCCCCTCCGCGCCCGCACCCCCGCGAAGGGCAACGCCAGGGGGGAACCAGCTCAAGGGGGGGAGCATCGAGCTGGCATCGGCGAGATACATCGCCGAAAGATCGGCGACGCGCTCCCTCCCGATAGCGAATCCGCACGTTTCTGGGCGGGGAGGGGCCATCGGGCCCCCCTCGGCGATCAATGGGCGACTGGGGGTCGATGCGTGACCCCCTGACGCCCATCCTCCCTATCGTTGCCCCTGACTCCGCGCCCCCTGCTGCGCAACAGGTGTGGACCGCGACGCGGCCGCCGCTTCGGCCGCCGCTGCGGCCGCGGCACCTGCCGCGCAGAAGGTGCGGTTGGTGTAGGTCGAGGGTCTGCGTCGCGCGCCGCCGCTACTTCTCCTCAGGGGGGGCACGGTGTGACCCAGAGTCGGATCGGAAAATCTCGGAGCAGGAGGAAGAGGAGGAGGAGGAAGAGGAGGAGGAAGAGGACGTGCACCGGGTCGTCGGGCAGGGTTGGAAGGCATTGGATTCAACGCCCGGCGGTCGGAGCCGAGGCCAGTGGGGCTTTGGCCGTCCGCCGCCGCTCTTCCCTGACCGTCCAAGACCCTGAGGCCCAAATTACAGTCGAGGCTGCAAGCGGCCAGATAGGTCTACAGTCTATAGGTCTGGAGTGCTATTTTTCAGCACTCTGGAAAGTCAGGGTTTGGCATCCACGCTGGAACGGGTCCTGGAAGGAGGAGGAGGAGGAGGAGGAGGAGGAGGAGGAGGAGGAGGAGGGGAGGAGGATAGGAGGAGGGGGGGGGGGGCGGAGGAGGAGGAGGGGAGGAGAGGAGGGGGAGGAGAGGGAGGGGGGAGGAGGAGGAGGAGGAGGAGGGGAGGAGGAGGAGGAGGAGCCGTCCTCGGGCCCCTGGGGGTCCTTCTCGGGCCTTATAGGGACCCTCCACGGGCCCGGGGCCGTCCGAGACAGGCTCTGGGACCCGACTCCAACAGGCCATCCTTCCTGCATGGCGACCCTCCTCCTCCAGGGGAAGGGGACACAAACCCCTTGCGTCGTGAACAAAATCACGATGGATCCCATTTACCATTCCTGAATATCTGGAGACCGTTTCCCGGCCTCTGGATCGCTACAGCACGAAACGCCGGCCACAGGGACGGAGCAGCATCAGTCAGCATCAACTCGAGACATCGGCTAGAATCGAATCAACATGTGAGTTGTATCGGCCTGCATCGGCACCGAGTCGAAATCGAACCCGATCGGCTGCGTCAGGATGCGCACCGGCGCGACTACCCCTTACACGTTTCGCCCCCCTCAGCAGACGGAGCTCCGCATGAAGCCCCGGTTGGAAAGTCGCACGCGCTCCCCCCGCCCACTTCGATACATCCCTCGCACTGGCACGTCACTCGCGCGGGCCGTCCATACAGAGGTCTACCACCGACGTGGCACGAAACTGCCACCGGGGACGCACTGACCTTGGTCAACGCAAGCCCATGTTAGTCAAGTCTTGCAAGATCCTGCAGGATCCTGCTGGATCCTGCGCGCTAACCTGGGTCAGTGCAGCCCTGGCTCTGCAGGATCCTGCAAGATCCGGCGTCCTGGCTGACCCCGTTTGCATTGAACCTGTCCCTTGAGCCCCGATGCCAAGGATTGGACCCCTCGCCAGGCTGATTGTTTCAGGAAATTGGAAGTGCAGGACTGCGTCTCTCTCTTCCCCCTCACTTCCCGGGAAGGCGTCCTCGGCTTCGGCTGGTCCGAGCGGCCGCGGCTTGGCGGCGAGCGGGGCGCGGCAGGGTTTGAAAAGGGGCACGCTGCGGAGCGGTGCGCAGCAGGGGGCAGCAGCTTTGCGGGCGGGGCCCCCTTAGTCCTGAGGCGCCCTCTTGGGAGCCCTGCAGGTACGTCGATCCAGATCGGAAGACGCGAGAAGACACGGCGAGAGGGGACATGGAGGGGGGGTGTCGCCGTCGTCGGAGGCGCCCGCGCTGCTGAGGGATCCGAGGCTGAGCAACCACGTGTTAGGAGGCAACTCCCAGCTAGCGAGCCAGATGAAGGGGCGATTGAATCAGACTGGAATTTTGAGCCATATTGAAACGGGTTAGGCCACAGCAAGCGGCATTGAGCCATAACAGCCCAGGAGTCGCAACCTGGCGTGCAGACTAGCTGCGAACGGTCGTGCAGCTGTCATGGCGTCACGGACCTGCAGCCAGAACTTCTGGCACATCCTCGCTGCTCCGAGGCCCGATTGACAATGGATCCTCCGAAGGCAGAAGCCCACATTTGATTGACGCTTTTGTGTGCAATCCAGGCCTTGTTCCCATCGTTTCGGCCTCTCGGGGCCGCATCTGGGCCCATGGACCCATGGACAATCAAACATCGTTCGGGGGCGCTAGACTACCCCAGGGATGGTGGTCGAAGCCGCTGGGGCCGCGGATAAGAAAAGTACAGCGCGGAACGTCTGGGAGACAGGCTAATTACCTCTGAACCCTCAAGGGTATAATCGCCGCGCGTCCCAAAGATGCGGGACTCTTGGGCGTCCAAATTGCAAACCGCCGCGTGGGCGTCCTTCGAGGTCCGGCCGACAACATTGACTGAGAATTGGCGGAGCAAGCATGGATTTTCTCAAGGAGAGCAGCCAGGGAAGGCAGATTGAGAAATACACTGCCCCTCAGGAGGGCAATCCCGATAGCGTGATTCACGGGCAAGTGAGCACAACGAGACACGTGCACAACACACGAGACACGGGCCGAGAAGGCAAGGATGCAAGGGCACCCTTGGAACGCCATCTTAACTTTGTCATTGGCGGCGACTGCCTGAGGATGACACCCGCTACCATCCAGGACTGAGCGGATCGGGACCTGGCAGCCTCAATGTGGACGGCTTCGGCACGTCTGCGGAACGCTCCAGATCGGGGGGCTGGGCCCAGGACTCGATGATGCGCGAGGCACTTCGTGAAGAATGCACTCTAAAATTCGCCGGGCCAACAGGGAAGGAGCATGCTAACATCTTCGGTAAGAGTTCAAGAATTTTCTAGATGGCCCACGTTGGTCCTAAGAAGATCAAGAAGCGCCCAAGACGCTCCAGGAGAATTCCAGGAGGACTTCGAGAGGCCCCGAAGACGCAACAAACATAGATTTGCTGGGGTTTTCGGACGATTTGGGCGGTACTGCCTTTTCGAGCTGTCGAACGCCCTGGACGGCCCAAGAGGCCCCAAGATCGCTCCAACATGCCACAAACAAAAAGCCTCCAAGAGGGCTCCCAAATTATTCAAGATGACCCTAACACGGCCCACGATACCTCCAAGACGGCCTCAGGATAGCCCCAAGATGGGACCCAGAGGGGGAACCCGAACAGACATTTCGAGCTCTCGGCCCCAAGGAGGCCCCCAAGAGACCCCCAAGAGCCCCCCAAAAGGCCAAACAGAGGCCCCCAAGACCTCCAACAGGCCCCCAGAAAGCCCCAGCAGGCCCCCAGGAAGCTCCAAGAGGCCCCCAAGAAGCCCCCAAGAGGCCCCCCAGAAGCCTCAAAACTGCTCACCAGAGGCTCCCGCGAGCTCTTTGAAGAGATCCCAAGAAGTATCCATGAGGACTCCGACCCCCAACCCAGGGGCGCCTCGAAACTCTGCTGGAGCTCTCGTTAACCATCTTGGCACCCTCTGGGTAGTCGGCTCTTTTCGGCAGGGGCGCGAGCCACATCTCCAAGGATCTCCTCGAGGACAGCCCTGCCTGCCCCACCGTTCCCCATGGGTACGAGCACACCACCATGCGGCCGCTGTGATGCGAACTGGGCGGGCAGAGTGTGCGAAGCGATTCCACAAGCATGACAAAGCCCCCCGCGGATGTCTCAGGCCAAGAAATCTGAGCGGATGTCTTCGGGAGGAACCCGGAAGCCTCTGGAGGGCTCCAAGGGCCTCTGGAAGCCCCCTAAAACATGTAAACGACCTCAAGCCAGCGTCGTGTCAGAAGAAATTGAGTCGGCGATCCAAAAGCAGGCAAGGGACGCCGATACAGGGCGAGTTGCGCCTCGTCAAAATAACCTGCGGCATAACAACCCCGAGACGCATCTTCGGGGGACGATCAAGTTGTTGAAACTTTTTGGCCCTCGTAAGGCCTCTGGTGACCCCCGAGATCTTCATGAAAAAACCATCCACAACCTGCTCCGGATGGTCTTTCAACAGTCCCGCTTTGGACACTCCTCGGCGATTGCTGGACCCTGCGATTCGGCAAGAATGGCTGCGACCTGACTCTACGGGGCAGGCTGACTGATTCGTCATAAGGCTGTTCACTCAACACACTTGTTTGGGACGCTCTGGGGCGCTGGCCGCACCTCTTGATCGCGGGAACTATTTCTCCGACAACGCGCACCGTGCCTTCGGCCACCCTGGCTGAAAGTGCAGAGGCACACGAAACCTCTGGAGTGAAGACAGCCGCAATGTGCATTAGCTGCAATGCCAGGCACGCTGCAAATAGACCTACAACGCCTGGAGATGAGGGCAGAAGACAATGATCTGCACCCAACTTGTAGGATGCAACATGTAAACTCGTAGTGCACGTGTCTTGTTGAATTGGCACATGCGCGGAACGATACCAACATACAATGGAACACTGTTGTCATAGTGAGTGAGGTTAACACGCAATGCCTGTGTCGCCCAAATATCTTTGCCTTGAGCAAAACAAGCGCCCTGCTCTCCAAACAATCCGTGTGGATGTTAACTACTAAGCCTCGAGCTACGTCAGCATCCAACTTCAGCAAGATCACATGCAGAGCAGACTGGGCACAGCTCCTCCACTTTTCTCCCAAGCTTGACTTTCGATATGTGCCTGGCTGGCTGCTACCCTGACGCAAAATACTCAACATGACTACTCCAGATTTCGTAATAAAGGGAGGGGGGTCTCATTTCGGGGGGGGTCTCTTCCAGGCTATCTTGGAGGGCCTGGGGGGGTCTGGGGACGACGTTTTGGAGGGTTCTCCCACGGGGGAGGTCTGAAATGGCTTGTCTTGGAGGGTCCAGACCCCCTCCCTTTTATTACGAAATCTGGAGTATTCTCAATCCGCACTGCCAGCTTCACTGCCTTCAGAAGACAAGCAGCTCGCTTCCTGCAGAGAATGTGCTCGAGGAGTGCCCGGTGAGCTATCATGCACCAACCTGGGCGCCCTGCCTCGGCAGATCGGTTGGGTCGAGCTGGTGCCGGACGAAGGGAATTGCAAAAAAAAAACAACAAAAAACACCGGATTGCAAAACAACCCAAAACGAGGGATTGCAAAAAAAATCGAAGGATTGCAATCCTTCGTTAAAGGTTTCTTTGTTTTGCAATCCTTCGTTTTTTTTTTTGCAATCCTTCGTTTTTTTTGCAATCCTTCGTTCAAGAGGGGGCATCGACCCTGTTGGATGTTGCTGCCTGGCGGTCGGCTATGCCGTGTTGGGCGCGTACGCGGAATTTTCCATGCAGGGCAACACGTCCGCCGCTGTGGATGCTGCCCGCTTGTCGTTAGGCGAATGTCTGGTCGAGATCGCTGCGGCCAACTGTCGGCAACGGGACCACAATGAAAGTGCTGGCTACCCCTGTAGAAGGCGCGGAGATCGCACGAGGCTTGCCCGCAAAGAATACCCGAGACCCGGCACGCCCCCAAACGATCCTCCTCCGTCTTCTCTTCTTCCTCCTTGCTCCTTCCCCCACCCTTTCACCCTGCCCGCTCCCCCTTTACCTCCCCCCCATGATCCTCTCATCCCGTACTCTCCCTGGCGCAACTTCTGCTCATCCTCATCTGCGCCCTTCTGATCCCTCCTCCGCCTTCTCCCCTTCCTCACACTCATCCCTCTCATTGTCGTCATTACCTCTGGACTTCATCTGATCCTTGACCGTTTCCTACTCTTGTTCTGTATGCTTGTTCTGGCCGTGCACTTCATGCCTGCTTTTCTCATGCCGTCACTGGCCATGCACTGACCTGTAGTATGTTGTAAAGCAGATGCACCACATGACATGCACGCAACGTAAGATGTGTGAGCGTGCGAGCCTGCATGCAAATCACACCTGTCGCAAGAAACTCATACTCTCATGACTTCTACGAGTCGACGTACGAATGGTTACGCAACATATAACGTGCGCTGTGCAACTTATGACGAGCGCCATCACGTTCTCCGATATTTCATCATATTTTTGGGTTGCGAGAGCTCGCACCATCAGAAAACTATATGGATAAAAACTAGCCCTGGGCAAGGGGTCGACCGCTCTGGAGCCAACGGCGTGAGCAAACACAGACCGTCGAAGGTTTGGGGGAGGAGGGGGAGGAGCTGGGATGTATTCGCTCTGCCACTCCTTCCTCTTACGCCATGTGTAGATCGCTCAACATCGATCGCGACGACTTGGACCGATCTAGCACATACGCTCCAGCTTTGCGGATGTTCGCACCTCGAGAAGTGAGCCCCAGCCTGGAATAATCTGCTTTCGACCACGGTCTGCTATTACCGTATTGGGCTCAGAAGGACGGCTGGAACCCAAACCCGCCAGTGCACCTGCGCGATAGCAGAATATTCGAATGCCTGGTAAGGACTCTGTAATATGCCAAGGGCTGATCGTCTCACTCAAAGCACCCGTCATTCGAAAACCGCTCGCTCCGCGATGTCAGAAAACCAGCCCGAGACAGCCCTGCGCACCCCCGCAGTGCCTCAGATGTGGAGGGCGCGCCGCTGGATCTCCCCAAGGTGGGGGGGAGGTTGGGAACCCCTTCCCCCCCCCCCTTTCCTCGATCCGTCGTCGGGGAATCCCCCCCCCCCCCTCCCCCTCTTCCCATTCCCCGATCCGTCGTCGGGGAACCCCCCGCCCGCCCTCCCCCTTTTCCTGGTCCGTCGTCGGGACCCCCCCCCCCCTCCCACCCTTTGGCCGCCCCCCCCCCCCACTCCCCCCTGTCGCCACGCCGCCCCCTGACTCGGGAACCCGACCCCCGCCACCCCTACCCCTAATCCTCACCCTAACCCAAACCCGTAACCCGAACCCCAACCACTAACCCCAGCCCCAAAAAGTACTTACTACTCGCCACCCACTACCCACCACTGACTACTCGCTATTCGCTACTCACTTCTCACTACCCCCTACTCACTACTCACGACTCACTATCCACTACTCACTACCCACAACCCATTACTCGCTACTCACTACTCCCTACTCACTACTCCCTCCTCCCTACTCACTCCTCACTACCCACTACTTGATACTCACTACTCACTAGTCTCTACTCACTACTCACTAATCACTAATCATTACCCACTACCCACTACCCGCTATCCACTACTCAGTGCTCACTACTCACTACTCATTGCCCACAAATCACTACTCACTACCCACTACCCGCTACTTGCTATTCCCTGCACAATACTGACTACACAGTACTCAGTACTCACTACTCGCTACTCCCATACTCGCTACTCAGTACTCACTATTCACTCCCCGCTACTCACTACTCCCTACTCCCTACTCACTAGTCACTACATAATATTTACTCGCTAAGTCACCAGTCAGTAGTCACTATTCACTAGTCACTACTGACTACCCACTACTCACTACTCACTAATCGTTACTCAATACTCAATATCCGCTACCCACTTCTTACTACTCACTGCCCACTACTCCCTACTCCCTACTTCCTACTCGCAAACTATTAACTATTCACTACTCACTACTTGCTACTCCTTACTCGCTACTCACTAATCACTACCCACAACAACTCACTACTGACTACTCTCTACTCAATACTCACTACTCCCTACGCCCTACTCGCTCCTCGCTACTCACTACTCGCTACTCCCTACTCGCTACTCACTACTCAGTACCCACTGCCACTACCCACTACTCTCTATTCATCACTACCCAATACTCACTATTCACTACACACTACTTACTACTCACTACTCACTACTCACTGCTCACTACTCACTGTTCACTACTCGCTACTCTCTACTTACTACTCACTACTCACTACTCACGACTCACTACTCACTGCTCACTGCTCACCACGCACTACGCACTACCCACTACTCACTACTCACTACTCGCCACCCACTACTCAATACCCACTACTCACTACCCACTACTCTTCACTCCCTACTCCCTACTCAGTACTCACTACTCGCTACTCGCTACTCACCACTCACTACTCACTAGTTGCTACTCATTCCTCATTTATCAATACACACTACTCACTATTCACTACTCACTACTCCCCACCCCCTACTCCCTACTCCCTATTCGCCACTCACTACTCACTACTCACTACCCAATATTCACTACTCACTACGCACTAACTCTCAACTCCGTACTCCCTACACACCTTCTCCGGCGCAGAAAGGAGAAGCAAGAGAGGCCCCCCCTCCCCGGCTCCCTTTCCGGCGCAAAAGGGGGGAGTGGGGGTGGGGGAGGGGGGGGGGTCGGACCCCCCCCCGCTTAAGGGGTGGAGGGGAGGGGGGGTCGAAAATCTCACCCCCCCTTGGAAGGGGGGGAGGGGGGGGGGTTCTGCGAGCACCCCCCCCTTTTCAATTACAGGGTGATCCACTGGCGCGCTTTCAGATGTGCCCAACAGGTGTCAAGAGGCCCGAAGATGCTTCCAAGAGGCGCTCAACATCCCGCGTGACTGTGGGAGGCAAAAGAACGATCCATGCATTCGGAATTTTCTCTGCTTGAACCAAAGCTTTTAAGCATCAGATCGGTAGAGAATCTCCTCCTCCAGCTTCTTCTCCACCTTCCCCTGCCCCTACATAAAGGGCCGAACAAGCACCCGTCGAGTGACCACCCCTGCAAACGAGGTCCTCTTAGTAAGCGCACCTAGAAAAGCAATCGAACAGGATTTGGCTATTAGGTAAATGCGCATGCCCGTTTAGTAACGTTCAATTGTGGGGGTCGGCCTTTCCTCTCTCACTCGACTCTTCCTGCTCCTCTCCGTGACCCTGCCCCTCCTCCTGCTGCTCTTCCTCCCCGCGCTGGGGCTCATCGTCGCTCCAGCCAAAACCGAGTGAGAATCGAGTTCTGCGCTCCTTCTCCTTCTCCTCCTTTTCCCTGTCATCATTCCCACTTTTTTTTCCCTCTCTCCATCCCTCCCCCAAGATATCTGGCGTCCCGATTTTTCCAATCGTGGGCCCCCAGACCATTTGGCCCCTTCCCCAGGGCCAGGTTCCTCTACCTGGTACTTGCTTGAAGCCGCACGTGCCCGAAACCACTCTTCGGAGCTAGAAGTGGCGAACAGCTTGCCGTTTTGCCTTCTTCGGACTGCCAGATGTCTGAGCACTGCCCTCCCTCGTTCCTCGCCGCAAACTGCAAACAGCGGGATCCCATCCCCTCCTTGACGTGCGCGTACGCCAGGCTGCACTTGCGGGAGCCGGGCTTGTTCAGCTGCCACAAAAAAAGAGAGGAGGTGAAGGGGGGCTCGGGGGGGAGGTCGTCTGGGGGGAGGGAAAAGGGAGAACGCCGATGATGGATTTAGTTCTGTGATTTTTACCTTTTGGGCCTCTGGGCGCGTCCTGTCGCCATGGCTGGGTCCGCCCAGAAAATCCGCCAGAGCGCATCCCTGAACAGTACCCACGGTCGGCTTTGATGAGGCAAAGGAGGAGGAGGAGGAGGAGGAGGAGGAGGAGGAGGAGGAGGAGGAGGAGGAGGAGGAGGAGGAGGAGGAGGAGGAGGAGGATGGGGAGGAGGAGGAGGGAGGAGGGGGGAGGAGGAGGAGGAGGAGGAGGAGGAGGAGGAGGAGGAGGAGGAAGGGAAAACATTACGAGGAGGAGGAAGGGGAGGAGGTCTGGGCTACAAGATTGCCTGGAAGTCACCGACACCTCAGATTGGTGTGGCTCCGCAGGTGCAGCTCGGACCTCAGGCGTGCAGATTGCCGCGACTGCTTTCTTCTTACTGTAACCCAATTTGTTCCTTGTAGTTCATCACGACAGGGAGACGGGCTCTTCCTGAGCCCACGTGGCATCGTCGACTTCTCCAGAAACGTGCGACAGCGCGCACCATCCTTCGGATCCATCGTGCGTCTCATCTTACCAGTGCTCACCATCCAGCACAGCCAGTCATGGCTGGCAGGAACTCAGGACCAGTACCAGGGCGAACGTGGAACTGCGTGCATTGCTACATATCAGAAAAAGGGCACCACTGGGTATGCTTGTGCGGGCGGCATTTCGACAACAATTATCAGCGAGCTGTTCACGATTGGCAGCGACGCCGTCAGCCAAGCCAGCCTCGTACGCCTCGTGAAGGCAAGGGCGAGGGCAAGAACGATCAACACGGTCAGCCACTTCAGCGTTCCAGGGCTTTGAGAGCATTCCTCGCAAATATCGTTCCTGTCTCTCGGTCGGTGGTCCATCAGAGGCCATGGGCCGACGTCTACGAGGATCCGCCTGGCGATCCTACCCGTGTCAAGGATTTCACAGCTCGTGTTTTTTTGCAGAAAGGATCAGTTGGGGGCGCTCGCAATGTCAGCCAAAGACGTGAGCACACCGATAGATGGGCTCATCCAGGAGACCGCTGTTTACAAGCTGATGACTTAGAGCTGCGACCACGTTTCCACTCAGCTTGCCAAGATCAAGTCGATGCGCGACTCGACAGCCGACAAGCTTCGCTCCATTCGTGACAAGGTTCAAACCATGCAGCAGGAATATAAACAAGTTTCGCAAGCGTTGGACGCCATTGTTCGCTCGTGCAACGAAGTCAAAGACCTCGAGCAGCACGAAGCAGATGACGACATGGATGGCGACCTCGATTGGGCTCCCCAAGCGGCGACGGCGAGACCTGCGCAGCACAGGGAGGCGGCAGCGGCGGCTTGGCACGGCCGCGCGCCCGCTGCGACGGCGGCCGCCCGCATGGGCTCGGCAGCGCCCTCGGTCTTTGGGCCAGGAGGAGCGCCCGCCCCGCCGCCCCCGCAGTTGGCGATGGGCTCAGGGATCCCACTGGCCACCAAATGCCTTGGGAGGACCTCAGGTACCGCCTCCCCGCCAGCTCCAGCATCGGCGCCTGTGCTGCAGCCTGCGATGGCCAATGCCAATCCCATTCCGAAAGACCAGATGGCCCATGTCATGCAGCTCATGCAACGGATGTCTGAGAAGATGACGGCTCAGGATCAATGCGTGGTGGCGATGTCGGGAGCTCTCATTTCGCTCAAGGCAAGCCCGCTTGCTTCCAACTCTCCTGCAGCATCCTCAGGTTCGGGCACGGGGTTTATCGGGCTGGTGGCTGCACAGGCGCCACCAAAGTCAGCCTCAGGACGCGGAGCGCCTACTTCGCCAACACCACAGGCTTCGCCGACTCCAGTTGCAGGAGCGCCAGTCACTCCCCCCAGCCATGGTCGCCGCCCCGTGTCGCCGAGCCCGCCGAACGCGCAGCCCGAACCGCCGACGCCGAGGGTTCTCACTCCGCTTCACGGCGCGGCTACTCCTCAGTGCAGGCCGAGGTCAAAGAAGAGGCTGGCGAGGACATCCATACCCAAGTCCCTGTGCCCAGGGAGTACGAGCCGATGCCGCCGACGCAGATGATGGCGCCAATGGATGCATCAATGGAGGATCCGCTCATGCCGCCACACATGCACCGTACAACGGACTCCATTGCCAAGCCGACCACCGTGTCAGATTCGCAGGAGCCCAGTCAGTTGACGGCCTCCCAGATTGCGCGCGGGGTCGAGAGGATCAATCGCGCGCACTCGGAGGCTGTAGATCTGCCAGTAGAAGGACCAGCGGAGCAGCCTGCTCCGCCAGAGCCATATGCAGTTCGCCTCGCAAGCTTCAGAGGGCGGATGCCGCCCACTAGAGTACGACCTTAGTCGAGTGTGCTGACAGGTGCGAGTTTGACCCCGCGCCCTCCCTCCATCCTCTCCTCGCTTCCTCCGGGAATTCACCTCCATCGTTCTCGACTTCTCCCTCTCGTGCGTTGCTGTTTGTGTTCGCCCGGCTCACCCTGCGCTTGCGCTTCAATTCTCTAGGCTCATGCGCTGCTATTAAAATGTGAGTTGATGTGTGGAATGCTCTTGCGCTTAAATGTGTGAAGTGTTCCTGCGCTTAAATTCTCGAGGCTCCGTGTGACTGTTGTTGTTGCCACTCGTGGATCACAACTTCCGTTGCTGCCTCTCAATGCCATAGGCAGGCCATGCTCCCTGCTAAGCATGCTAGCCTGTGCGCGCCGCGGTTCCAACGCATCTTCAGTCTTCTCACCAGCTGCGAGACCATTGCCTGTCCTTTGCCAGCCGCGCCGACCAGCAGCGCAAGCTTCCCTGGGCATTTTTTGTTCTCTCCACCTGCCTCGTCTCAAGAGGCTCGCTTGAGCAACCCGGCGTGGAGGAGGGAAGTGGGGGCTTGGAGGTGGCAGGACAGGAGGGGATATTTTTCCTATCAGACAATGCCGCTTGAGCCCAGCGCGCCTTCTACTGCGTCGGAAGTGGGTAACCGCATCGGTAGCTATGTACCCACCTGTTGTAGCATCTCGTTCTGCAGAACAGCTATAACTTTGGTTGAGCTGGCCCTCTTCGTTGCGTTTCCACAGGGACTAATTGAAAGCGAGCCCGTGCAACAATATGTTGGCAGCTCGGCCTGCGCAGCTTTCCGTGTCGCCACATTTTCTCACATTATTGGATCGAACATTATCACGCCCATCCCAGACACTGAGGGAGAGCCTGCTTTGTCCCTGCACGAATGAAGCCAGCTCAGCAACTTTGACTCTGAACATTGCTGCTTCTCGTATGTGTTCGTCTGTTGTGCCGCCCTGTCGCTGGTCCTCCCACTCCGCGGGCCCCATGTCGGAGATGCTGTGCAGACCCCAGAGCCCTCGAGCTCTTCTGCTCTGTGCCCCTCCTGTAACCCCGGGGCCCCCTGCAGCTCTGCCCACGGGGGGCCTACCTGGCGGGGCCCCCCTTCGAGGATCGCACGGCCTTCAGGTTGACCCCGCCGTGTCCCCCGACTGTCGCCGGGGGACTCCCAGCGCCCGCTCTGAGGTCCAATGGCCTCCAAGGCCTCCCTGGGGAAACCCGCCCGGCCCCTCAAGCGTGCCATTCCAGGCGAGGGGATCGGAGGCAGATGCCGATTTTTTTTTCTGGCGGCCTGGTCAAGAACGCCGATGACGACGTGGCTTCTTGGGCTCTCACCTTGGCATCTGCAGACCAGGCTGGGTTTGCGTATGGAGGCAGGTACCCGGGCAATGTCTGTCAGACCTGCAGGGCGATGCCTGGCCGCGCCCTTACTAGTGCCGACGCAGAGTTCGCCGCCCTTCTTTGGTCCATGGTGTTGTTGCTTCGCCTGCCTGGCTCGCCCCCTGTGCACGTCGGGCAAGATTCTCTCGGTGCAGTGAGCGCCCCGCTGGGAAAGACAGCGCCTTCGAGAGAGGGCCCGTTTGCCAGGGTCATGTGCTGTCTGTGGTTAATTCTGTGCCGCCGCAGATCTGCCCGTGTCTATCATGTTAAGTCCCATGCGGGACACCCCTGGGACTCGCCCGTGGATCACATTGCTCGTCACACGCTCCTCGGGGACATTCGCTCGTCCGATCTTCCATATGGCATCATCGCTTTAACTGACCATCGCCTTGGCATGGAGTGGGAGTGGGTCGCTGAGTTGCCCCCCGACCGTGCTTGTTGCTTCCATAGTTGGCAAAGCGATGGTCACGCCCAAGTGCCGATTAGCTCGGCTGCGGGTTATCACGTAAGTGAGCTTGCCCAAGAGAGCACTGTCAAACCGAGAGGGACAGTCATCAAGCTCCAAGTTGTCCAATACAACGCCCGCTGCACGACTACTCGTCACACTTGGGGGTCCCTGGGTCGGGCCAGGCGCGCGCCGAACAAACCCACGCGGCTCCAAACGGCCCAACTGGGGGCCTTGTCTGTTGGAATCCAGGAGGCCAGAAATCCGCGAGGAGCAAGGTGCGCCGATGGTTTCCTCATCTATTCTTCGGACTACAACGACGAAGAACAGCGGTTACGCCTTGGAGAGGAGTTATGGGTCAATCACCATATGCCATGCGCCGAGATTGGCAAGGGTTGACAGTTGCATTTTCAGGCGCACCACATCCGGCAGCTAATGTGTGATCCTCGCTTGCTTCTCGCCAAGATCTCCGCCCCTGCCTGGTCCATCCCTATGTCTGTCGCTCATTCATCTCGTTCCAAGAGAGAGAGAGAGAGAGAGAGAGAGAGCGACAGAGAGAGAGAGAGAGAAAGAAAACTGCGAGCTGGATCGGTTGAGGTGTTCTCTCCATAAGCTCTTGGACGAACGGATGCCCCAGCTGGTGCTTCTCGATGCCAACGCGACGGTTGTTAGCATCGCGTCGCCTGTTGTTGGGGGTGAAGGCTTCATTCAGGTTCAAGATCGCATGGGGGCCACCCTGCACGAAACCGCCCTGGCTCA